CACCAATGACCCACCTTTATACGGTGCTAGGAATAAACCTTTACCTTTGACGATTTTATAAGAACCCCCCTTGTATGGTGTAAGATACAAACCCTTACCTAAGTGAATAGGAGTGTTTTTATTAGATTTTAAATCATTCACGACTTTTACTATGTTCCCGATACCGCCAGTAAGCGCACCTAATGCGGATAAACCGGCAAAAATAGGTATTAAAGGCAAAACACCGCCCTTTTTAGGAATAGGTATAATTCTAGGAGTCTTAGTTTTCTTAGTTTTCGATTTTTTAGCCGCTGTCAGACAAGTTCTTATCAGTTTAGTTATATTCTTTTCTTTCAGTTTATTTTTGATTGAGTTTTTAGCAGCCGCAACCATTTGTTTGAATCCACAACCGGCCCCCATCTTACGTTTGACTTTCATGGCTGTAGTAACCAACCAAGATGCAGCTTTTTCCTTAATACCAGTGTTTTTAGATTTAAACACCTCCCAAGCTTGATTTTCTAATATTTCATCGGCCCTGTGTCTATCCGCTAGTGAATTACTTCTATCATACGCGATGTCATGAGCTCTAGCCAACTCATCTAGACTGTTTACACCTCGATCACCTCGTGCCAGCCTTTCTTTTAGTTTAGTACCAGGACCAGCAAAACTGTAATGAAACACAATGTTTAGATATAATCGAATAATGTGATGGTAGTGATGACTCACCGATAACCGGGTAGATGTAATTCTACTGGTAAATGGTTTATAACCGAGTTAATGAGACCCGAACCCTTATTGTTGTTCCGTTTACGAACGTGAGACATCGTGTGACGTCTTCATAGACAATACATTTGTATTTATAGTGAAACATCTACCAGGGAAAATGCGTTTTATAGAGCAAGAGAAAAAACTTCAAATATATAACATTGATACCCCGGATACAATACAGCATAGACATGGTGACCTATTCCCAAATACGATACGATCGTTGATCTTAGGGAGTTCGGGATGTGGCAAGACGAATTTGATATACTTTCTACTCGTTGATGAAAACGGGCTTCGATTTGAAAACGTTTACATATACTCTAAAACCCTGGAGCAACCGAAGTATAAATTACTGAAACGTATTATCGATGGTATTGATGGAGTTCAAATGTTTACATTTTTTGAGAATGATAAGGTCATCACACCTGAAAAAGTATTACCAAACTCTATATTTATCATGGATGATGTTATCGGGGAACAGCAAGGTGTTATAAGGGAATATTTTTCCAGAGGGAGGCATAATAAAGTAGATATATTCTATCTAGCTCAGAGTTATTCGAAAGTACCTAAACAACTGATACGCGATAATGCTAATTTAATAGTATTGTTCAAACAAGATGAAACTAATTTAAAACATGTATATAATGAACACTGTTCCGGTGATATGTCATATATTCAATTCAAACAATTTTGCACTGTGTGCTGGAATCGCGATAGGTTTGCATTTATAGTTATTTGTAAAGATAGTGAACGTGATAACGGGCGTTATCGATTTGGGTTCGACACCTATGTGGTTATATAAGTTAGTGTTTATAGTAAAAAGTATCATTTAAAACGCAGTCATGAAGGATGGTAGTAATATATTAGAGGAGTTGGTCAAGGCCAAGGAAAGTATAAAACGTAAATATTCTACGTTAAAAACTGGTGAAGCTAATGTTCAACAGTTAATGGCGCAGACATTCAAACCTATTATAGATCCTTTAACTAAAATATCGAATACACGTGATTTATACACTAATCAGGCCGAGAAAGAAGATAAACCTGTTGGGTTGGATTCTGAAATCATTAATATCAATGAGGAAAATTATCAGCGAGGAATTGAAAATTGGTTTCAGTCAACGGATATAGATAGAACATTTGGTCCGAAAAAACTCGTAAACGGTGATATTATCTTAGGTGATAAAGAAGTAAAATTCACTCAACGAATAATAATTATCGATGAGCGTAGTTATCCAACAACCTCGGGTATTATTCAACTATTGTTTTTGAAAAACCCTACCATTTATACGGATAACGATTTGGAGGTTTACAAATCGATATTAGTTCAAACATCAGCACATTTAACCGCAGGTGGTTTAAAAATAAGAAATACCAAATGTAAAAAATATAAAAATATTATAAGTAAATTATTCCCCACCAGTGGCGGTGAACTGTCTATGAAAGTACAGAAAAACAACTTAGTGTATTGGGATAACCCAAACGAGTTGGTCGATAGACTTCGATTACTTCTAGCGTCGAAATCAGCTGGTAATACGGGTGTTTCCAATGAGATAATATCTATTTTCGAGGAATTACTTGAGGCCGGGTTAATCAAACGAATTCCAAATGTCTAAACGTGAAATTGCTATTGAACTCCACAAACCATCGCGGCGAAATTTCACAAGGCGTAGAGTTAACATATATGGAAAAAATGATTTGTGGCAAGCTGACTTGGTTGAAATGATACCATATTCGGGGAAAAACAAAGGCTACAAGTATATTTTATGTGTAATTGATTGTTTTACTAAATTTGCATGGGCTCTACCTTTGAGAACGAAAACAGGTAAAGAAGTTACTAGTGTTATGTCTAAAATATTACACGATCGCTCGCCAAAACTTCTACAATTGGACAATGGGAAGGAGTTTTATAACAAAATGTTCGATGGGTTGATGGATAAATATGGTATACACAAATATTCTACATATAGTATTATGAAAGCATGTATTGTTGAGCGCTTCAATCGTACGCTAAAAGAGAAAATGTTTAGAGAGTTTACTGCCCAAGGCTCTCACGAATGGATTTCTATTCTACCCGGGTTGCTTCGAGAATATAATAATTCGAAACACAGAACTATTGGAATGACGCCGGTACAAGCAGATGCCGACCCGCTTACAGTGGAAATAAAGCATCGTGAAATCAATAATGTAAAAATTAAGTTCAAAGTAGGTGATAACGTTCGGGTTAGTACCCAAAAAGGGGTGTTTACAAAAGGTTATTTACCCAATTGGTCTACGGAAATATTTGAAATTATCAAAATTAATAAAACATTACCCGTTACGTATCAGTTGCAAGATTATACTGGAAAACCAATTGCCGGATGTTTTTATTCCGAGGAAATACACAAGACCAATCACCGAAATGAGTATTTAATCGAGAAAATTGTACGTAGAAAGGGTAATCAAGTGTTTGTAAAGTGGTTGGGATTTGATGCGTCGCATAATAGTTGGTTAAAAGCTAGTGACCTTAAATTGTGACCGGCTATTTCAGTAGTATATTCATATTCATCCGGATAACACGTATCGATAATGGATATTTTCAATAACTCTATCGATGGACGTAGAAAGAATATTATTTCACATATTCATTCGAGTAATAAAACAATTTTATACGATGTAAAAATGCTGAAGGTACAAATTGATGGTATGAAAAGTTATATCGCAAATCTCGAAGAGAAATTAAAATCGATGGAGGGTGATATACAACGCAACAATAGGTCTTTATTAAATTCTGATATCCGTGTTTCAGAACTATTTAATAACTATATCGAAAGTAGTACAGTAATTAGTTTAACTCGAGAAGAAATCGCTCGTTTAAATAATATATTAAGTGATATCAATGGAGAATTTTATGAAAATTCCCTGCCCAATCACGGATCGTATATTTCAGACTTACTTACACGTGTGAAAAATATCGAAGACAATTATGTTAGGAAGAATTAACTTTTAGTATACTCTATGACCTCGATAGATGTACCTGCATACACACATAATAGTTGAGTTTAATGCACTAGGTATTTGAAAACTCATTTCAGTAGTATAATACGATTCGTATGGACAACATGTATATTGATTATGGATATTTTCAATAATTCACTGGACGGACGTAGAAAAAATACTATTTCATACATTCAATCGAGTAACAAAACGATTCTATACGATACAAAGCTACTGCAGTCGGAGATAGGTACTCTGAAAGGTGATATCACAGATCTACAAGTGAAGATAAAATCGTTGGAAGACGATATTCGGCGAGGTACAAAATCTCTATTAGAGTCTGAAACTCGTATCAGAAAACCTTTATCAGATCTAGCGTCGTTTATTTCAGTCCTGGAAAAACGTTTGAAGACTATCGAGAATAGATATAATATTTTAGAATAAAATATCGAAAATAATGTCGGCTATCGTAGACATTCAGTGCGTTCTCGGGGCTGACAATAAATATATGATAAAAGAAATGTCTGTAGTGGACACGGAAACATGGGCGTGCCAACACTGGATTTTCAAGAATTCCAACTCTAAACAGGACAACAAGAGTAGGAAAACGAACAAATGGCTTGAACGTAATTATCATCAACTATCTCTGGAATATGGTGATGTCGAGTACGAGGAGCTCAGCCGGGTATTGAATTCACTGAAGTTCGACTGTATTTACGTGAAGGGTGAGCAGAAAAAACAACTTCTCATGGAACATATTCCACACGTTGCACTCGTCAACATCGAAGATATGGGCTGCCCCCGATTGGATCAAATATGTGATGGCAGTGACGTGACTCTACCCTGCTGTATTTATCACATGGAGTTTAATCCAAAACAATGTACGTTCTACAAAGTTTTCGCCATACGTAAATGGTTTATAAATAATTCTTAAATCGTATAATACAAGGCAAGGCACGGCACGGGACAGCACGGCACGGCACGGCACAAGCACTCACGGAACGGCATGGCAGGTGCACCAGCTCAACATAGTTTAATATTAATATTTATGTATTTAACTAACGTATCTAATTGTATATATTATATTTTTAATTACACATGGAACTATTATATTATATTATATATTTTACTAACATATACAATTGCATATATTTTTTATTTAATTATACACATATTATTATACTATTATATCACAATTATTTAAACAAGTCTATAAAATACAATATAATTATAATACATACAAGTGGAGTTATATACGCAAAGTAAATATATACGACATAATATCACACGCGTAACGCGTAATGACCGTAGGCGCGTGTACGTACCCGATCGTCGTCGACAACGCGCTTATCGTCGAAACGATTAAGTGTCATTTTCATGGTCTTAATCGTTTTGACGCGGTGCTCGAACGATCGGATCGACACGTTTTGCCTATACGGTGTATACGGCGTGTACGGTGGAAGCGGTGTTGGGGTGAATTCCACGCCATCAATTGCGGCGGCGGTAGCGGCGGCGGCATTCTCATGGATCGTGCTGATGACCGATCGGGCCATCAGACGAGCACGTCGTTTCAGCTCCTCACCCTTTAACGTAGCGTCATCGTCAAAGTCGTCCTCCATGTAGTCGTCTTCGTCGTCATCACCCACCTCCTCACTCTCGACACCATCCGCAGCGTCGTCGTCGTCGTCGTCGACCTCGAACAGACAGCGCTTGTGGTCCTCGAACGTCATATGATTTCGGACCACATGCCCTCGAATCCCTTTGGCCACGAGTTTTTCGTCCCCGTCGAGTTTGTACGCGTATGATTTCGCCCGGAGTGCAATGAACTCGTACATAGTACGGCCAGCCGTCTCGTCCTTGAACAATCCCGGTATTTTCTTACGTGTAGCAACGTAGCACGGATGTGTTTCGGTTAGATTCGAGGTGTCCATCCTTTCGAGGAGCGAAGGGTTGTCCACCAGGTCCTTGTAGAAATCATCAGTGTACACCCGATACACCAGGGAATCTATAAAGGTGTTACGTACGTTAGATATTATATGGGTGTAAATAATATTATTTCGTAAATACCTGTATCCATATACATCAGTCTAATCGAGTCGTTGTAATGCCTCCGCATCACATTGTAATGGTAATCATACATTAACTCCTTGCTTATTTCGAGGACGGCGAAACCTACGTAAATAGGCTTGGAGAAACGTATGTCACTATGTTGTAGGGATACGGCGGCCAGATTCTCGGTGTACGTGGTGACGTGTTTGAAGGTGGGTTTATTTATGAGTTTGCGCATTCGTCGGGGGCAGGACACCAATTCCATGGATATACGGTTTCTAACACATTCCATAGTCTTCCCTGGAAATTATAATAATAATGTAGTACAATATGATAGTGTGTAATAATGACAGGCTATATCATTGAGATATTTACCAAACACAGCGTTGTTAAGTAGTTTGAAGAAATCACGTTCAAATTCATTGCAGGCCTTCTTTCTCATTTCGGTGTTTAGATTTATATATTTAGCCAACCACGCAGACTGTTTAAATTCCAACACCCTGTGAACCTATAATTATTTATCGAGGTTAATTTCACGTGATTTAATTCAGGTGAGAACATGTATTATATATATTACTTTTTCCACTTTCAACCCGTTAGCGATGGCCTGCTTTAAATTTCTATAATGCACTATATACCGCTCTTTACGTTCCAGCGTGACCATTAATTTGTTCACTTTTGAGCCTGGGGGTGTGGCATTCCGAGGTAAGAAGGGGAGATCGTTGTGCGCGTCATGCAGGTGGTCTGGGTACGCGATATCGACCTCGTAGATACGCCCAACGTCGGATTTGTCAGTCATACCGTCCAACAGCTCTAGAGACCTATCCAAATCACCCTCGTACCACTTGAACCCTCCGTAGGGCATATATTCCCCCATGGCATATCCGTACAAGTTGTTGCCTGCAATAATAGGTTTAGAATTAGTAATATAATAATTAATTGTATATACGTTATATATTTACAATCTTGATAGACGAGCCATGATGGTGGTTTCTCGGCATCGTATCCCGGCGTCTTGGGGTTGTTTGCCCGACAGTACCGTTCGCTGGCCTGGACCAACCCCCCTCTTATACCCTGTTCCACGAAGAGCACCATGTCGTAATCAGTCAGTAACTCCAGTGAAACGCCCGTATACCTCAACATCGCGTCGAACGTAAACCCAGGTGCTGTATAATAATACACGGGGTCGAGGTTGTACGTCGACATGCACAGGTCTCGGAAGTTCTCCATCACGTCGGCCAGAAGGAGAACATCGACCTTCAGGTATAGGTCGCTGTAGTCACCGAGGGTTGTACAGTTGAAATGATGCCACACCTCCGTCGCATGTACATAGTCCTCATCAGTCACGTGCTTCTCGAGCAGCATACTGTAGAACTCACGTTTCGGCGGGAGGGCGGTCTCCTCGAGTCTCGACCATTTGTCGGTATACTCGTATGGGAACACACCCTTTCGCGTGACGAGAGGCATGTCGGAGGGCTGAAACGCTTTGGCGGTCTCGCGGAACTTGCCAAAGTCACCGGGCTTCGTGAGGAGGTTCCCGGCCAACTCGGCCAGGCTCGAGGCCATGAACCGACACGAGTCCAAGAACCTCACACTAAAGTCGGGTGAGATACGCTTCGAGAACGAGATGTAGTTCTCCTCGCTGTTTGGTATCACCGTTATCGACTCCTTGTCGTAACCGAGTTCGGTTACGATAAAGTGTGCGTCATATTTCGAGAGATTGTGTAGGAAGCACGGTACAAACTTGGGTGTGACAAGCTTGAGGTTACACGGTGAACAGAGTGTATGCCTTAACCGCCCCGACAGATGACAGTGGTCGGCGACTTTGCACCTGGCCTCGGTGAACGTTAACCCACACATATCGCATACACTCTTCGCGTTATGCACACGCAGTTCCTCCACACTCATCGAAATCGGCACGTTAGTCGCTTTCAGTAGGTTCCCCAACCTGATGGAAACAGCGGTCACACTGGCGACAAAGTGTTTGGCTACCTCGTCACGCGATTCCGACCCGCGATATATGACCGGCGTCTGCGGTATATCGTATTTCTCCATCAATTCTACGGGTACGTCCGCCGCCGCTTTGACAAAGTACCCGTAGCTCATTGGGTGATGTGCATGTATCCCGTCGGTGCTCGCTCCCACCCGCTCCGTCTGTTTTTCGAGTAGGGCTTCAAAGTCTGCGTATATCGTAAACGGATGACGCTGCATGCTACCCCACCCGTTAAACTTGAGCACTTCTCCCTCCTCCGGCATAACAGGTAAAATAGGTTTATTCGGCCCGCATAGTCGCATGTGTTGTTGGAGAGCCTCATTACCACACAATTTATTTTTTTTCACCCGCTCATCGAATGAGGTGAAACACCTCTTACATATAAAAAGTCGACTTTCATGTGATGTTTTCTGGCTCCGCACTAGTCGTGAAAAATTTGAAATGTATGTATAATGCATCCGTTCTGAGCCTTCAATTACGAGAAGGTCGAAATGATCTGCCTTCTCATTTTCAACAACCCTGATTGGATACACTACACTCTCCTTTCCTACTTTTTCCCCCTTACCATCCTTTCCTCCTTTACCCACCTTACCACCCTTACCAGGTTTCAATCCGTATACGTTTACCGACACCCCCTTATTTCGTCGTTCAAATATACAGATTTCCGAAATAGGTGTCGGGGGGGATAGTTCGGAAAAATCGTACCGATGCTCCTCATTATAATAATTTTGTCCTACACGATTATGGTTGACTACTGGAACGTGTCTAGCTAGAATAGCCCACTTGAAGCAGTCATCGTCAATGTTCATAGGATTAATGACAGCCTTTTTCCGCATTATATTCTCTGGGAGTGGAATATACGAGGACCCTCCAAGAGGGGTATGTTCATAGATACCTAGTAACAAGCCATCGATAGTGGATAGGGTGAAGCCTGACCCCTTTTTCATATACCTATCCTCCTCCGACATGAGTGCTGCAAAGTCCTCTTCGACCATAGCACTCACATCGCTATGGATATACACCTCCCTCGACACGGTTTTAAATGCCCTATCCTCGGCTGGTAATTCCCTATGCACATATATGCTCTCCAACTTCAAATTATATTTTATGGGGTTAATACGCACACAATCGTTGATTTTATTCACCAATTCGAGTTTTATCGAGTCTAAAAACGTTGGATAACTCACATAGTTCTCGGTATTACCTCTATAATACCATACTATAGTCCTATCCAGCGAAGAGTCGAGCTCGATAAAACCCGTCGTATTAACCATTCCTATGCGAGCCTTTTTAAATTTTACGATGTTACGCGCTGAGTTGGTTTTAGCGCGTTTAACTGACGGAGTGGTAGGGGCGGGGGCTTGCGGCGGAATAATAACATTCGCATTTGACGAGGACGCTACACAATCTACGACACCCGAACCTTATAAAAATAATAATTATTATTATTACTCCTAATACATTTAAATAATATAATAATATTACTACTCACTTAATGACTGTTGTCTGATACCCATAGCCTTATTGTATTCAGCACCATATTTAATGAAACCTAATATAGAGAAATAATAATTATAGAATCGAAGATTATTGTTATGAGTTATACTATATTATTATATCTATACCGAATGTTAATATTCAGTTATTTACTTCAGTGATTATATATTTTTTAATTATTATTCAATTATATAATATTAAATATAATACATACCATGTTTTTTCTGTACATGATTTACAAGATCATCCCGACGACTGAACATTTGTTGACATTCGATACATGAAAATTTGTTTTTGTTATGCGATCTGTTATGTCTAAGCATATTAGACTTCGTGGTGAAAATTTTATCGCAAACACCGCACTTGAACATTTTTACTGATATGTAAATAAACACTGGACTAATAACAATAGTGACACGTACACTGTATACAAGAAGCTTGAAGAACAGTATGACTTCTTTGAGTTAAATCAGTCCTCTTATATATGATTTATCTGACCTCGTTACCTAGTCATTAGTAAATCTATTTTTCATAATAGGTAAATCATAACACATTAATATCTTTAATTAAGATATTGGAAAACTCGGTCTATCATGTTAATATAAAAATAATAATGTAATTGTTCTAATGACTTTTGTTTGAATCTAAAATTTCTAGGCTAATAGAAAAAATATACTAGCTATATTATTGGTATTGGTAATGTTATATAAACACCACTCTACATATTATTATATTGAAATACATAAACTAGTATGATTATTAATGACTTTGTTTACTAAAAGTTAAAAACCATTAAAGAGAAACTTATAAAATTATACATTTACACTAACTCATTAGTTAATAGTTTTATTTACTATATGAAGATCAGAGTAATTAAAAATTGTATACTTTCATATTCCATAATATCATTTAACTGATTATTAATTCTTGCACAATATTTCGATCACATGTATATTATTTAATTTTCTTATTCAACACTATTCAAACGGTATTATTATTATAATTTTTTAGGGGTTGGGGGGGGGGGGTATGTATGTGATAGGTATAGATGGGAGGGGGAATGGCCGGGCATGGCTGAGAGGGGAGGGGGCACGGCCGAGCACGGTCGTGATAGCATATAACTATAGGCTGGGCGGGGTAGCCGGATTCGCCGGATTTGCGGGGGATACAGAACCTACCAAAACATACTACTTGCAGGGCCGCTGGCGATAAAAAGATAATATCTCATAACAATACGATTGGAATTCATAATAATATGCTGAAATTATGTGATTTAGTTTTTGGTTCCTCTACAGCTTCATCTAGCACAGTGGCGGCTCGTGATGTTTAAACAGGATGGTGCAGAAAGTATGAATACAATGACTAATGGCTAATGAACATAATCGGAAAAATCTTGTTGTGACTTGTGGCTAAGCCCCCCCGAATTTCCAATATAAACTTTCGTAACACGTATAAAGTAGACGTGGTGGGAAGGGGGATAGGATCGAAGCCCCTGTGTGTAGTGAACTTTTAATAATTTCAGCCCCCCTCTATAAAAAAAAACCTAATTAAATTTCCAGTTTTGAAAAAGTAGTAAAAAAATCATAAACACAACATAGGTACCTAATCAACAAGTGTAACGTACGGTATACGTAATAACTACTCAGTATTTTAATGACTGCAATGTTTACCTTGATGTATGAAACGTAAGTATATACATAATAATAATAATGATCCTTTGTCATTGCAGTAGCTGTACTCTCAGAAGCATTGTACCTACTTATGTCTCCCACACTATGCGTCTGAATACTCTGAACGTGTCGACACAGAATGTAACAGACACTTCACCGGAGATCTAACCCATCGATTGGTGTGTGTATATCGCATAACTGCATTTATTTTAGGAGCTATAGTTTAGTACCTATTTATCCACAAAATATTACCGTGCCGACTGCTGACGCTATACCTAAATATAATATAGAATTTGTTCTTCAGAACTAATTGTGTAGCACATTACAGAGATATTCTTAGCGGAAGACATATTAAAAATAACCTATTAAATCTAATAATTGTTTGAGTAAATGTTATACATATATTTGCTCTGTTAATTACTTTTGGATTAGGCACCTACCTAATATGATTTTTTTAATCCAATAAAATGAAAAATAATAAATTATACTTTTTTATAGTATTGTGATTTGTGGATCCACATTCCATATATTGATATAATGGAGGTTTGATAGTAAATATGGTATCTATATGGTTATGGAATAATATCCATTATCCACCGCATGATATTTTTAAAAAAAAGGAACTTATGTAGGCGGTGTTACTCTTACGCCGAACCATTATCAATCAACATAACATCGGAATATTAAAAGTTAAAATATATAATTCATAAAACAACAACAAAAAAAAAACGTTCATAAGTGTTTAATGGTTTAACCTTAACGTACATAATAATTAAAAAAAAGTGAGACTAGTGAGAGACGTAACGGACTACACACACACACACACAACAGTGCGGCGTCGGAGCCCGGAGGTGGTAGGATGGTGGTATTGCCAACCTCACCCTACACTTAAATAAATAAAAAAAAATTTGGATTATTGGAATTAGAGCACTAGCTATATACTATCTCATTTTAAACATAAAAATAATCGGCTTTACAAAACA